AGCAAGAATAAGAAATATCCTAAAGTAGATTTAGGCGATGGGTGTGGAAAACTTTCAATCAAAACGCACCTCAATAATATTTGGAAGTCAGTTCATTCTATAGAAAATGATATAGAGTATGAAATTTTTGAAAAACTTCGTATTATTGAGTATGAATTAAGTTGTATAAATAAAGCGGAGTCGGCACGGTTAACAGATGATAAGTTGGATTCTTCAGATTCAGATACTTCGGACAGTGATTCTGGTAATTCCTCTATATCAAGTTCGGAAATAAAAGTTATACAAGCGCATAAGACTGCATCTGCAAAGAAACGCCCTATTCGAAAGCGTAAAGTAAAGGGTAAAATTAGCCGGAGGGTGGCGAATTCCTAATTATCGAGCTTTATAGCATAGCTGGTGTCTCTGACACATGAATTTTTCTCCAATTATAAAGCGGATGGGATTGTATAATACCCACCTATTTCAAGATCAGGGTCTAACGTGTCTAACATGTCTAATGCCTCTTTGCTGATATTTACACAATATTTTAACCCGAGATATTTTAGATTGGATAAATGCTGAGCGATATCTTTAATGGCTGTATCAGTAATAAGCCCACAATATCCCAGTTCAAGTTCTCGAATCTTATAACATTTCTTGGCTATTTTGGAAATAGATGAATCAGTAATATATTCTGACCCATAAATATTGAGATATTCCATACTGGGACAAGATTGTGCTATTGCTTCTACCGCCGTATCTGTAACATAACAAAATTCAAGATTGAGATAAGAAATGTTTGGACATGATTGCACAATAATACATATCGTTTCATCACTAAGAAATTCAAGAGAATTAAGTGCGAGGTGTTCCAGATTACGACATTGTGCGATTTGTCTGATGCCTATATCAGTTACTTTATTACAATCACTAAGATCTAATTTTCTTAGATCCGGGTACGAACCTACAAGAGCATGGATTGTGGTATCGGTAAGCTTCTTGCAGTAATTAAAATTTAAAGATTGGATATTGGGAATGAATCGTGTAATTTCGCGTATAGATTTATTAGAAATACAACTTTTACCTCCGTTTATTCCCAGGTGCCTTAAGCAGTAGCACGATCTCGCAATTTCATAGATAGACTTGTCGGTAATATTTCCGCCCCAACTAATTTCCAAATACTGTAATTTAGGACATCTACTTGCGAGTTCGGTAATAGAATGATCAGTTAACCCTCCGTTGTTAAAAACATTAAGATGAATTAAATTAGGATATGCCCGAGAAATTTTGATTAATGCTATATCATCGAATCCGCAAGTCCGTTTAAAATCAAGATGAGTTATATTTGGAAATATTACGATGACTTTTTCAATTACTTTATTTGAGAGTTCATAGTAGTGTGTAATTTTAAGATATCGCACACTTGGAGCATAAATTGGTTTTGTTTTTCTATCCAATAGTCCCATAAACTTTTTCAGTTGTATTTCATATTTCTCGCCAAAGGCATCCCCGTTTCCTATCAATTCGATGCGACGCCATAAAATTGGGCTGGAGCACATAGCCCAGAGTCTAGAAACGAACAAGGCGGGATATAATGCCTTATCTTCAGCTAAGAAATTAAAAATTTTCGTTAATAGTTCAGGTAGTGCAAGTGCCATAGTGAGTTTATAACAATGTAATAAAAAATGCTTATTTTATAGTTAATTATCTGATCGTATATATAGACACAAAGCGGAAGTAAATCATGTCACGTTATAATGGGCCTCAGGGGAGCGATGTCATATGATGAATGTTTGAGAAACAAATAAATGTTTTATTATATACTAGAATAACGTAATTATACAAAGCAATGACCCTTCGGGTCTACAAAGTTTTGGGATGTAACCCGTGATAATGACTAGTCCTCCTAATCTATTTTTAATTTATCCAACCAGCTGATTTTTCGCATCGGATCTACCACCGCATTATGATTCGTCGGGTATTGGATCCTCGGCCTTCAATCCTCGTCGGGCACGCGTCAAATCTATAAAGAATAAAATGTTAGTATTACTTGTTCTACACGGATTAACGATAAATGAACTACTTACCAATATTCCCTCGCCTCTTATCACATGATTTTTCAGGCATCTCGGTTTGACTTTTTTTCGGTTTGGTAAGTCGGATGGTCTTATTCAGGTTTCGCGCGTCGTTTAAGTCTTGTCTAGGAATCATTGGAACAACTGACCCATGGGAATCTCTTTCGATTCCATCCTCGCGATCTTTATAAATATCGGAAAAATCGCGCAGATGGTGGAAGAACATACTATGGACGAAATATACGACGCTATGCCGAATTCCTTTCGTTACGGGAAAATTCCCATGGAGCAGAAGACGGGAGGAAAATGCCACGACTTGTCCCAGACGAAGTGGAACGATAATCTGGAGTTGCGGGAAGCAAAGTTCACCCCCCTCGAAATCACCAAGAGCGACTAGACAGCACAAAGAATTCGATTCGTCGTGTTCGTCCCAGTGATAATCGCTTATTGTATTGAAATTGATCGCGATCATCGGGAAGATTCCGAATGACTTCGGTCCAAATACCCCCCACAATAATTTTTCTAACTTTCCATATAACTCCCCATAATATTCCTGGACGAACTCATTAATAGAGGTTGACAACGGTTCCAAATCATGAAGTAGTGTATCGACACATTCTTGATGCTCGACGTTGTGGGCGCTTGCGGTGTTGGAACTGGTGTAAGGTAAGAGGTTATTTCGCGCGTATACACCGAAATGTTCGATGAAATTAGTCCAAAATTCGTCACTACGATGGGAAGGGTTATTTAAGGTGTGAAAATAATAGTGGTTTACAGCTTCGGTGGCCTTTGATACGGCATTCGAATTATTTAATACTCCCAGGTGAATTAAGGTTCTACCTTCGACGTCAGTAACGCATTTTGGTCTTTCAATAT